TGTTTTACCGACATTATAGGCGTCCGTGGAGTATCGTGCACTCCAAAAGGAAAAAAGCATTAAGTACAGTAGATTTCCTATTAAGGGAAATTTTACATGCATTACGATTGTTTTATTAATAAGTAGTAGACTCATTATCGTGTGCTCAGTATATATATACAGAGGCGCAAACATCTATCTGAGGGTTATCACTGAGGATATTATGCTCAGACGCAAACAAGTATCAGCTACACAAAAAAAACCACCAATGGATTCGTATCAGAAATAATCGTCTTGGTTTCGCCAAGAAGAACGCCTAGGCAAGTAGCATACAGCGCCTGCCTGGCCTCCGAGACGCCAGTCGGTAACCAAAATGTCGAAATTTGGAAAACTGATAATAACTTGCAAGCCAGCCCGTTAAAAAACTTTAAAATAATAGTGAAAAACCGTATATGAAGTTAAAATTTGAGGGAATTATAAAAAGTACTATAATTTTTTTTAGAAATACCAGCTTTTTAAAGGAAACCTAAAATTCCTAAAACGTAAAAAATCGTTCTAACTGTGACCAATAAAGTTAAATAGAATTGTAGGGTGGAATCGTAGACATACCATTTTGTACATCTTAAGGGAACTTTCCTTTTATCAAATATCTTTATAGGTATCGCTGGTATTGGATTATAAGTAGCTTCAAATCGTCCTTGAAATTCGGACCAATACTTTACGATTGTCCGCGTTTCCAAACTTCTTTTCCATAAATTTATATTGCGTCCGACGTATTTATCAAAATCTTCAGGAAAATATATTTCTCAAAACCATTCACCGAGGGAGTCTGTCTTTGGATATATGTTTTCAGTGCAGATAGCCATTTTGGTCATTTTTATAGACTTATCCAAACATGGAAATTAATCGTCGAAAAACTGAACGCCCACAACAAAATTTGGTAATCGATCTGCCTAAAATTGATTAAAAGTACTTTGTATAACAAGTTGTATCTTTTAAAAACACTTCAATTAGATATTCAGCTAACGAGTTTCTGTGTAATTTGCATTTTTCAAATGAAACGTCAAGGTAGAAATGACGGCCTTTGATTGGTTTATGGATTTTCCCGAAAAGTGGTGATACACTGTCTGCTGAAAATGAAATAATTCACTTCTCTCCTTATATGAGAGCGTATTTCGCTATATTTGATTACGTTAAGGTCGTTTTCTAAGATTAAAAGTGCACCAAAGAGTA